TCCCAAACCAGGGAAAAACTATGAGTTAATTACAATTCTTTGACATTCATTTTTCTGCCTGAAGGGATAATTTAACTAGTGAGTTATCACATAAGTGACTCAGAAGGTGTGAGCTTGTTTCTCACCAAAAACCCCAGAATGTAACCACTGCATTCCTATGGGGACCATTCACCACTTTCTACCAGAATTCCGACTCATACTCAGTGCTATCTCTGGGATGACTCGGGTTTTGCAGTTGTTCTGGATTTAAATCCAATATTGGCTGATTACTAGCCACACTGCTTTGAGCAGATTTTCCTACCTTCTTTATATTTAAGTTCTTTATATTGTATGTGTGTAGGGAGGGCGGGGGGGGGGGGGGGCTGGAGTTCTTTATATGAGGATAATTTTTGAAAGTAAATAACATACTGTATTAAAATGATAAGCACTAAACAAACATTGAATTAAAAGGACATTTACTAAAAGAATAAATGAACAAACGGAACAAGAAGAGTAAGAATTTCAAGGTTAAAACATCACTTAACAGGTGTGTGTGTGTGTGTGTGTGTGTGTGTGTGTGTGTGTGTGTGTGTGTGTGTCAACGGTAAGGGAGACTGGCAGAGAAGAATAACAGAGAGTCTATGATAAAAACCCAAGCGACAAGAAGCATGAACCAACCAAACGGAAGACTGAGCTTCTCACATACAGAAATATCATTTGTCTACCCTAGAACTCATGTGTCTAGAGCATTCAGTGTATCTATAAAGCCTTTAAGTTGTAGCTGGTATTCTTTGAGGCTATGTGTGTTTGAGATAGTTCATAGAGTTGTGGGTGCCCCTCCCTCATCTCCCCGTTCCATCAACCCACATTTTAATGGTGTCAGATTAAACAAGAGGGATGCTCTGGATTTTGCACAGAGCATGGCTGAAAACTTGCCAGGACAGCTGAGGCAAATTGGAAACTCAAGAGTTGGGGAATCTTTCCCAGCATCTCTACCAACTCTCACCTCACTGAAGGAGAATCAGAGGCTCAGAGAAAAGTCCTGCCCTCCCTAATGTCATACATAGCACAATGATCAGAGGGAACATCTGAACCTCAGACAGTAAAACAATTCCCAATCTCTGAAGCTTAGTACTGTGTAGTTAATAGTAAGTCCCGAAGTCCAGTGGTCTCTATGTTTTCTATGAAGCCTGAAGACCCATGGAAACACCAGCAGCTTCTTAGGTCAGCCTAGTCCCAGAACACCAAGCACAAGATAGGTCTGAGAAAGAGACATCCTCCAGCACTCAGGAGACAGAGACAGATCCCTAGGGTTCTCTAGTCAGTCAGTCTAGCCAATCACTGAAAATAAGGTAGAGAGTGACAGACAGAGGAAAAAAAGATACCCAACTGACCTCGGGCTTCCGCAGGTACATGCACAAGTGTGTACAACTACAACACACACACACACACACACACACACACACACACACACACACACACACACACAAGTATGAAATAAAAAGAAATTTTGGTCTATCAATTACACCAACAACTTAGACCAATTAGATTCTCTCTGTGATCCCCAAATTACTCCAACTCTTAAGTTAGAAATGTAGGGGAGACTGATTCTCAAGAATCCCTCTGGTTTTGATATTCTGACTTGTCCTAACAAGCCTGATGACCATTCCCACTGGATAATTCAAACAACAGGCCAGGAACTAACCTTTATTTAGTGGTGTTGGCAGTGAGTAAGCTTACTAGATCCTCGAAAATGAGAATGCTTTTTTATTATCGATAGAACAGTGATTCTCAACTTGTGGGTCACAACCCCTTTGGCAAACCTCTATCTCCAAAAATATTTACATCACAGTTCATCGCAGGAGCAAAATTACAGTTATGAAGTAGCAGCAAAATAATTTTATGGTTGGGGTCACCACAACATGAGGAACTGTACTAAAGGGTTGCTGCATTAAGAAGGTTGAGAGGCAATGGCAGAGAAGGCTGACTCCTTTCCTTTCTGACTTTTGCAAGTTGTTGCTGGAGATTGGGACAGCCAGTTGCCCAATAATCAATTATAGAATACATATACTCTACAATTCACATCAGCAACTGTTCTCTGTTAGATCAAAGAATCAAGGGTTAAACACAATACCAATTTTCCACACAAGGCTCTGTGATGAAGTCACAGGATTTTGGAAACATGGCAGAAGGGAGACAGATAATATTCTGGTTACTAGAATATTGAACAGATGAAAATCCATGGACAACTGGTACACCTCTGTCTACTAGCAGATGCTGGAATGGATTAGAGTGGGAAGATGCCTTGCTCAAGGTGATACAGCCAGCTGACATCAAGACTAGGGACAGTTACAGTCTCATTGCTTTCAGACCACATGACACACACACATAGCATCACTGCCCAGAGCAATGAGAGTCTATCCAGGTAGCAAAGGAAGAAACCCACAATGACTACTGCTTCTGCCTCCACTAAAAAAAAAAAAAAAAAAGCAATGGCTGATTAAGATTATTCAAGGCAGACCAAGACAATTTCCCAAAATTGAAAATTACCATCTCATATGGGCAATATATATAAGTCCATGAGTACTAATTGGATATTATTCCTCTAATGAGTCACCATGGAGAAAATGGAGACAGCCAATGGTCTGCAGGAGGCCAGAAGTCAGCTCTTCCTCTAGTACAGAGACCAACGATTTGGAAACGATACCTCATGTTCTTTAAGAGTAAACAGGGTGTACAGTTTCAAATGCCATGAAGTGCAGCTTTAAATAGATTTGGTTTGGAAACGGGACAAGGAACACACCACAGTTGGTGGATCGACATCAAAAGCTGAGGGAAAACAATGATTACACTCATTGATATCCGCTGACATGTATACTGTCAAGTCTAATTCCCAACTTAAACTGCTATTCTTTATTATCCCCACTAATACCCATTGTTACCACAAGACTGTTTTACATGTGCACATCATGCTCCCAGAATATTCAGTTCTTCATCATCCAAAGGTTGAGATAATTCCATCTGTTAGTCCCCACCAGCCTATAAATCTGAAAAATAGGGATTACATTGCTGGATTGATAGAGACATGGATGGGTGACAAATAGATGCATAAATAGATAGGTAGGTAGGTAGATAAGATAGATAGATAGATAGATAGATAGATAGATAGATAGATAGATAGATAGATAGGGACACATACATACATACATACACACACACACACACACATAGATAGATACAAAGATGGATGGGTGGATGGATGATAGATGGATGCGTAGGTAGGTAGGTAGGTAAATGAAATTCCCCATTTTAAAGAGCAATTTTTTTTAACTTTCTAAGGTTTAATTAAAGTATCTCTTTTAGCCTTGAGACAGATTTCAGTGGGGAGAGTGAATGCAGCTAACTAACTAACCTTCAAAGCTTATTCTACCAGCATTTATTAAGTGCAAACTAAAGGGATAAACATGTGATAACCACAGTCCCTAAACAGCTCTCTAAAGCAGATCTCTGAAGTAGACAATTTAGGTAGATTCACTTTGGTTTTCGTATTCTGGACTGTCTTAATCGGTCTAATGAGTCACCCAGGGTAAGTCAGAGGACAGACAGGGAATCTCCCTCTTCTTCAGGGTATTCACAGTGGGTGAAATGGCCAGATCCACCGAAAGTTAGACCCATATTGATGTCAGAGAATAGAAGAAGGTTGATTTTCTTCCTTTCTTAACTTGCAAGTACATGTCATGGGGGCTATCAAAAACTCGAACAAGAGAGGCCTTCAGGAAGTTCTCTTTTGATGTATTTGTCCATGAAAATGACAGGTTAGAAACAAGATTCTGTGCAGACGTTTTGTATAACATAGTAGGACTAAAAGAAAAAAATTCTTACATTTTTTTGCATACACATTCCAAAATAACATTTTCTTTTGTAGGACTCAGAAAAAAATTCAACTACACTCGCAACTGAGTTAATTCTAAAAGCTTCTCAATTCATATCACCCACCTGTATCATATTTAGTATATTTGATAAATATTAGCTTTGAAAATCCTATTAGCCTAAAACCATAATTCCCAGGTGATTCTAAATTAGTAATTCCTGTGATTACGGGGCAGTACCAACCAATTTCAGGGTTTTTTTTTTAAAGAACCGTGTGAAGTCATATTTGCAATCCATCACCACTGAAATAGCACACCCAAGTTACTAACAAATGCCGACAGCAATCTACACAGTAACTCCAAACCTTAGACAGCTTCATACATTGGTGCCTCGGGTTAGGAATATCATATTGATGACTTCAACTCCTGCTAAAGAAAGCCTAAAAGATCCTATTGAACACAGCAGCATCACTGGGAGGTGCAAGTGCCAGCAGGCTGGCTATAAGTAAAACTAGAAGAGTTGAACTAAAGATGTTCCTTTTGTCTTCCAACAACCTCCATTTTCTCAGTAACTTCATGAGGAGGCCCTCTGCAAGGATCTCTGTGTCCTTTGCAATGGGCCACCAACAGAGGGGCATGACATTGCAAAGGCCTAACTCACTTCCTGTGTTCCTACTTCATTGCAACCTTGCAATCTTTGGTGCACAACTAGATAGTTATCAGCATAGAAGACACACTCAGAGCCAAACAATTCTGGCAGCATAGTATAATAAAAAGTACACTCAAAGAAGGAAAGCTGAGGAGACAAGGTGGAAAGTCTGCCTGCCACACACTAGCCAATGACACGATAAAACAGTGGAGAAGACTATCCTACTGTATAGCACCACTGTGGATTCTCAAATGTTCATTAAATGTCAATGTTGCATATTGTCCAGATGTTTCTCTTTTAGGTGTTAAAAGGGTAGAAATTGAAAAGCAAAATTAAACCAAGAAGACATAAACGGAGGGAAGGTTACAACCTTGGATATTTTTCATGATTCTCTTGACCATAAAGTACTTAAGTGTGTCTTGCATTGGGAATCAGCCTTTAGCATCATGGGTTCAGGGGCCTATTAGCATCCTATAATTGCAAAGACTCCAATCCTCTCTTACCTCAAGCAGCTTCTGGCTTTCGGGATGGACAACGGACACAGGCTCAGCCAGATGATGGGCTAGTCTCTGTAAATTAAACAGGCAGAAGTCACTTGGAGGCACTGGATACCAAGCCTACTTTAATCCATCAGTAATAAGAACAGTATATTCTGCAAAACATGTCCACATTTATGGTCTCATTTCACCCACATGGAACGTGATAAAGAAATGGGAAGAGATTATTCCGCTCACGTGTGATGGAGGTAGAACTTCATAGAGGGGCAGAGAATGAAAAGGGAACTAATAAGTCTTGTGAAGAACTTCACAAATAAAACATGAAAAACAGTCATCAGTTCAGAAACGATGACTTGCCCAAGAATATACACTACAGTACAATACGTGGCCGAGTATGAATTCAGAAGCAGGAGCTTTGCCACTGGCCTGGTGATCTCTATTTTCTGCCTCAGTTTCTCCTCAGTCATGAGGCTAAGGAACACAAACAACTCACTCACCTGATCTTTAAGTCTTGGTAGAAAAGGATACTAAAGCCAAATCAGCAATGTGACTGTCCTGAGGAACGGGAAGAGCACATGGCATTTAGACCTAGTCAACTGTCTTCCTCTCTCCAATGGCCTTGGGCAAGTTACTAAAGTTCCCTATTAAGTTCCTCATATGAGAATGAAGATTATCTCTATTATCTAGTCAAAACTGTCCTCAGCTAAACAGGGGCAGGGAGATTTTCCTCCACGTCCACAGTGGCCATGTACAAAATGCTAGTATTTCTTTTCATGAGCCAAACACACACTACTAGAGCATATCCCAAGATAGCTATTTCTGTGATTCATGGTCCTAGTTTTAAAATACCATGAGATCATCTATGCCATTCTTAAGTAGCCTCAACACACCGCTCCCCCCACCCACCCACACATACATACGAATGCACATGAGCATACATGCACACACACGGTAACAAAAATAAAAATAATATTAGAAACTCCAGTGTTTTCTCAAACCCCAAAAGCTTCAGGCAGCAGGGCTGCTCCTGGTGTGCAGCCTTTCCAAGTCTATGCCTACAGCATTGCCCGAGGCTCAAGGAGCTGGAGCTGCTGAGAGAAGCGCCGGAACAGAGAGAACTCATTTGATATTTTACATGGATAGATTGAAACCTCATTCGCTAAAGTGTCCAGTTTTCATAAAGCATTCAAAACACAGTTGGAAAACATGGCTGGTAAGATGCCCTGCCAGAAACTCATCTCCTACCCCCAAAATCAAAACCTTAACTATCCTTTAACGTCACAGTTTATTTTGTAGTCTAGAAAACAGTACATGCTAATTACATCCTAAATCATGTTCATCGTACGCTCAATGAGTCCTTACCACTCCAATTTTACAAACCTAGCAACCAAGCTTCAAAGGTCACAAAACTAACACAGAGCAGATGAAAATTTAACCTTGAACCCTCACACCAAACATTTGCCTCTTATATGAGGTGAGAAGCCTCCTGATTAGACTTCGGGAACTGGAAAACAAGTAGGTAAAACAGAAACTGCAATTAAGCAAAGAATGCAAAATTCTGAAAAATAAGTATCTCTTGTTTTCTCGCATATGTGGAATGAAAAAAAGAGATTTTAGAACAAAAGGGAGGGAGGGATGGAGGAAGGGAGGGCAGGCAGGCAAGCAGGCATTAAAGTTAAAAAGATCCCACTTGAGAGCAGGAACCTGATAGAGTAAAAGGGGACAGGAGGGGGTGAAATATGAGACAACAGGACTAAAGTGCATTGCACACACAGTGTACAGTTCATGATGAAAACCAGTCGTGTGGACAAACAATATATACTAATTTAAAAATTGACCCCAAAAATGCACTTTAGTTTGGGATCATGCCTCACCACCTAGTAAAAGGACAGAAACAACAACTTCACATCTGTGGTCTCAGCAGAAAGTGACACTTGACTAAGCACAGCCGAGAGTTCAGTTCTGGGTTACCATGAACACTTGCTCAGGCCTCCCCAGCGTAAATTCACAGATGCATCGTCCTCACCCAAGGTGTTAACACACAAGCCACTAAACAGCATCGACAGTGGCGGTTTTCATACAGACTTTCATCAAAACCTCCCCTCATAGGAGGGAAAAACTGAAGCCTTCTAGCCATGAAGGTCACCAGCCCATGCACGTGGCTGGAGTGTTATGTGTCCTTTGCCGATCTCAGGTGTTTCAGAAGGAAGTGGAACTCTTCTTAACCCACAAAGCGACAGGACAACTGGCGAATCCCATGACAACCTCTGGCAATGAAGCCAGAGTTCCTTGGTTACTTCTGGGGATGTCGGGTCTGCTGATCTGTTAACCCACTGGAATAAATGGGTCATTTCTCCGACTATCTTTCCTCTCCCAAGAAGAATATTCTCACCTCCAGAAGCAATTTCAGCCAAAAAAATAAATAAATAAAAATTTAAAAAATCTGTATATTCAAGCTCAAACTTGTAAATTCTCAACCTATTAATTGGAATTTATGTAAAGCAAGACTCAGAACCTAGCTGAAACTAAAACAACATTACTAAAATTTTCTGTTTTAATCAATATAAAACCAAGAAGAAACATAAAATCTGTGGTAGAAAACAGTAGAGAAAAACAAGTGCAATGCTTGACTATAAAGAGAGACATATGTGCCCATGCGCACGCACATCACACACACACACACACACACACACACACACACACACACACACACAGACGATGACACACAACGACCATTTCAAGGGGCTTTTCACAAACCATGGTTCGAATCTATCACTTCAAACAAAGTTTAAACCCTAAGGAGATGATGACGAAAGAAACAAACAAACAAAAAAAAAAAAAAACCTTATGAACAAGCTGACTAAGAAGCAAAGCCTAAGCTAACAAATGAGCAATAAAACAGAGCTCTGTGGGAAAAACAACTCTACTGATATCAGGCTAGCCCATCATCCCCAGACATGTCGGAATAGGGAACGTTGCCAAGCAAAGAACCCTCCAAATAGAGCACTAAGGACCTGGACTCCTGTAGACTTCCACAGTCGAATGGCTAGGGCTTGTGAGGAAACATAGAGTTTCGAGTTTCTCTTCTCAGAGGTCTAGACTATGGCTGCCTAAAAACCATCTAGAGAACACCAAAAGTTATTTCATCTACATGTTCTGTACTTTCATAAATTTCAAATGGCGAAAAGATTAATTATAGTAAGATCTACTTAAAGTAAATGATGTTATGATGTTAAATGTGAGATTCAGTCCCCAGAAGCAACTGAAATGTTGGATTAGGACAAAGGTATTCAATGACAAGTATGGGTGACCCCCAACTCTGGCCATCAAAACCCAAGTGATTTTTACCGCACTATCTCCCCCACCGTTCTAAGATACTTCTCAAGAATACAACATATTCCACAGCTTATAAATGATCCAGTTGTCTCATTAAGGTAATGTTTGTCAGTTTTTAATTGCTTCCCTCCCTGATTTTAATTTTCTCACCTGTCAGCATCGATCAGAAACAGTGAAATCATCTGACATACTGGCTGATTATGTTCAAATTAATCAAGATTTTTTTTTTTAAGTAAAATTGCTTTGGCCTAAAGGTAATGCACAACTTCATAATGTGATATTTAGGAGAGGCCTACAATGGAACAATCTAGAAATTAAATGGAAGACTTTAGGAATCCTGAGGAGAAATGTAAGTTATTTTCACACCTACAGGACTGTACATTGAAAGGTCAAGACTCTTTAAAAAGAAATTTAATCAACTAGTGTTCTCCCAACAACAGTCGACAGTGCCTGGACCCAGGCAGGAAGAGGTACAGTTATCTCAGAATATTTGAGATAGGTTGGGAAGAAATAAATAAAGATGAGCTTGCCTTAAATAACATAACTTAATAATGTATGTATAATAATGTAACATAAAATATCATATATAATAGTCAAATAATAATCTGGCTATTCAGAAGTTGGATTTCATATTGATAACTGTTAACAGCTTGATATATGTGTTTCCGTGCAGATTAATCAGAGCAACTAAGGGAGCTGAGATTGGTGTTATTGGTAATAGTAGCAATCTTTGCATGTGACAAGAGGCAAATCGACGGCTCAGAACAACAAAGGAACTCCTATTTTTTTTTTTTAATTTGCATAGGTGTTTTGCCTACCCATACGCCAGTGCACCCTGTGTGACTGATGCCCGGAGTCCAGAAGAGACTATCGGTTCCCTGGGGAAGAGATATGGGCAGTTACAGGAGTAACGGGCAGCTATGAGCTGCCATATGGGTGTAGGAAATCTAACCCAGGTCCTCTGTAAGAGCAGCAAGTGCTGAGTCATCTTGCCAAACCCAGCAAAACAACTAGACACCTACCGATGGCCAGGCCTTGTCTCATGATCTATCTGAAGTGAGCAATTCACCACAATTACTCAGAAGAGAGGGAAAAAAATGTAGTGTAAATCCTCCATCTCTAATTATTCAGTGCTAATATCTATCAGAAACAGTGTTTAAAACACACTTAGGAAACCTCGAGCACTAAACTCTTTTAGAAGAAATAAACGAACTGCCAGGAAACTACCCCGCAAGGCGTCCTGGCACGAGATTATGTTAATACACTAACGTTATTCCTACCTAGAAATAGACACATGCATGGATGCAATAATAATTGGGTCCCAGAATGAGTTCCTAATAGTGGCAAGCCTGCATGTGAGTTACTTTGCACCAATCTGGAGGCTCTTGAATTGAACAGAAGAAAGGAAGCCTGCAAAGACTGGGAGAAACAAAGATAAAGGTTAAGTATTAAAAAAAAAAAAAAAAAAAAACAGAAAAAAAAAAAAAAAAACAGCTTTGGAACCAAAGGTGACCAACCCTTGGTATGTGACGAGTCACGTCAATCTAGTAGACTCGGGCTCTGCTTGACCTCAAGTGTCCCCTTAATATAAAGGTTTTTGGGTACTGCAAAGTTTGATGAGGCAAGTCTTTTTTTCCTAACAGTAATTTATTATTAATATTTACTTGGCACTCACTGTATGTCTCATTATGGCCTCTTCAAACCAAACTTGTTTTTGCTCATTCTCTCCACGTCTC